ATCATGACTCTAATCAGGATTGAAACTATACTAGATTGGCTACCTTTTAGAATTTTTAGATATTCATTTATTATACTATTGGTTTGTGGCTTTTAGTATCTCAGTAGAAAGTCTAATTCTATGTGTTGTTTATGGGTTATTTCATCAAGAAATTACTTTTTGTTTTCCTATATTTTTCTATTCAGTCAGATATTTTTGACTTGTTGTATTCTATTTTAGAAGAATGCATAATTTGTTTTGCTGTTCAATCATAATGCGTACATAGGAATATTACTTGTTGCCTAAAAAATATATTTATTTTGTTCTCAATATTCAGTGTTTGTGTATATTTATTTCTTATAATGTATGTTTGGTATCACGTCATTATGAATCGCAAAAAAATATTAATACTACCAGTTGTAATAAAATATAAATTCAATTAATAATTCAAGTCTCTCCGATCTCCGCCTATGACTCCATATAAAATCGTCTAATGGTAAGGTTTTTTCATCGCATTTCCCCCTTTCGTCCCTAGCAATCTTTGGCTGGTCGATCAGTACAAAGAATTCGGAAAGAGCAATACAAGATAAAACTCGTCAATGAGCTTAATGAAGAAGAGTTTGAAAGAAGGTTGAAGTTTTTAATCAATAATACAAATCTGTTATTTGGTATTTGTTTCTCGAATGAGTGTACGTTCTAGAAAAAATAAATGGAAATTAATTAATATTTTCAGAACCGTTTCAGATATTTCACTGATATTTAGTACGTAGTGAAAGTTAATAAAGCTGCATATTTTTCAATGCAAAAATAATTTTTAGCATTAACAGTGGCGTGCGTACGGGCACTGGCTTCGATATTTTTTAAGAAAAAAATGATACGCCAATGGTTTTTTGCAAAATAAAAATTATTTTTGAATTCCCCGTTCAATTTAAAACAAATGATCTCTCTTGAATTGTTTTCCTTTGAAGCGCCATTTTTGTGATAGAATAAATAACACTCCAGGGATATTTCAACCAGTGCGCAATTCCATGAGAAGGAGGACGGAAGCAAGCATACTAAGCGAAGGGGGCCATTTTCAACAATATTTATAATCATTTCCTTGGTTTTAATGTTATGTTTATGCTGTCAGTTGTTGTTCATTACCCCTAATGTGTTTAATTTTTCCAATTAAATTAATAATAATTTTGCAAGTTAGACAATAGAACGTTTTTATTTTTTTACTCAAAAATGGCGCATCAAAGGGAAACAATTCGTGAGAGATCATTTGTTTTAAATTGAACGGGGACTTCAAAAATAATTTTTATTTGACAGAAAACCATTGGCGTACCATTTTTTTCTCAAAAAATATCGAAGTCAATACCCGTACGTACGCCACTGTTAAAGCTAAAAATCATTTTTGCATTGAAAAAAATGCAACTTTATTAACTTTCACTATGTAATAAATATCAGTGAAATATCTGAAGCGGTTCTGAAAAAAATAATTTCCATTTTTTCCCTAAAACTTCAACACCCCGAGTTTTTGTAAGGAAACATTTTTGGACCATAGTTTATAAAGCAAACTAACATTAATTTTTCATGTAGATCCACGCCCTTACATATTTTCATATCATTAAGGAACACCCAGTATAATTTTTTTATAAACTCAAATAGCTTTACAACGAATGAAGAAAACTTCATGGAAATTCTAGATAGTAAAAAAAGCAGAGATTTCCATTTAAAAACGTAAAGTAGTATCTTATTTTTGGATCACCCTATATTGTACAGCTATATACGGAAAGACGTCCCGCTGGAAATCAAAATTGAAGTGTTCGAGCGTTTTTCCCAAAACATACCAGGAGAGTCTCAAATGGGACCTTTTCGTTGGGCCACCCTGTATATGAAGGATGTTCGTCTTTACCTGCATCTTTCTCTGAAATGCGTCCGTTTTCAAGCAGGCAAATTTCCATCCGGTATTAGTTACATATTGTAATATTTACACACAAAAAATAACCTTTATAAACTGACGTAAGTCTAACAGCCCCAGGTTCCTAACCTATTAATTACATGTTGCTTTCACATACTTTCTAGTCATATGTATATATAGTTCATGAGCGAAGGTCGAGGATGGGAGGTCCGAAGTCTCCGGTGAAAAACAAAAAAAAAAAACAACACAAAAACGTGTCTGAAAGAATTTATCCCTCTTTCACTAAAAATCATAATTAACACCGGGGACGACTATGACCTCCCTTTTTGGATTTTGCTTTTTTAATACTGTGATTCCATCACAGAGTTACATTTGAATAAATACCTTTTAAAATATCGTGCAGGAATTAGACATTTTTTTACCTTCCTAGAACATGGCAAGGAAGTATAGATCATTGACCACCAATTCTCGATTTACTATGAACATCACGGACATTTTGCACATCTGGGCTTTTTTGTCACTGAATAATTTCAGTAACCAATTGATAGATATTGTCGACATTGTTATTCCGAAAATTTGTGATAAGGTATCAGCAAGAAAAATAATAAATGAGCGCACTGAATAATTCTGAAGAGATCAACACCCAGTTCTTTCGCGTCTCTTCCAGATATCTGACACATTCCCAAGAATTTGCTCATGTCCAACCTATCCCAAAAAAGGGATCTAAGATCGACCCTTACAACAACAGGCCTTTAGCTCTGCTTTCTGTTATAAGTAAGGTGAAGAAGAATAAGAATGCACATACACATCCTGCTCCAATTCCAAGGAAGTCACATACAAATGATCCAGAAGAAATCGAGCTACCTTCCAGGAAACTGAATCTTCCAGGAGAAGCTTCATTCTAGGGGTGGAGGAGTTATAGGGCTACCCTGTAACAGCTAGAAAATAGAAAATGCAAGTCAGCACATCATCGCAGCGCCTAGCAATTGTTGAAATGCAACATGATATGTTTCCTGTTTTACTCATGCTAACGAACATTGTACTTGTATAATAAAAATTTAGTCTTAATTTAACTTTCGTACCATCCACTACTGTATTTTCGGAAATAAATATTTTTAAAAAGGCACTTACGTTATCCCGAAATATTAGTGAGCTGCATAAATCGCGAGCTTCTGGACTACCGCGAACGTCACGGCTTGACTAACGAATTTTACGATTTACTAAAAGAATCTTATTTTCCAAATAAATCAACATTTCCCATGTTTTTAAAACAGGTGAGGTAACTTTGGTAATATGGGTAATTCGATATATACTAAGTGACATATAAATCCGAACACCCAGCTTAAATGGTTTTATTTTAATAAAATTTTGTATAAGTATTTAATGAAGCATAATAAGTAAATGATAAAAATTTCAAAATGATTGCACTGCTTTAAAGCCCTTTGACCTTTAATAATGTGTGGATGCACCCTGATGTGCTACGCATTCTCCAACGCGCCTAGGCATGCTTCTGATCAGGTGGCCAATGTCCTCCTGTGGTATCTCATTCCAGGCAACCACCAACTCCTCTCGAAGTGCTTCTAGAGTCTGAGGAGGACGTTGCAAATTGAGCAATCTCCTACCCATCATATCCCACACGTGCTAAATTGGGGATACGTCGGGAGATCTTGGTGGCCATGGTAACAATGTGACATCATTATGTTGAAAGAAGTCTATTGTGACTCTTGCAACATGTGGTCGGGCATTATCTTGTTGGAAAGTTGGATCTGCCAGGGTGTCAAGATAGGGTAAAAGATGGGGTTCTAGAACTTCGTGGATATAACGCTGCGCGTTCATGTTACCTCTGATGAAGATTAAAGATGACCTGGAACCATAACATGTCTTTCAACAAAAAACTGTGGATTCCTCCTTTCACCACGTCGCCTTCTAACCCTGGCACGACCATCGTGCATGCCTAAACAAAATCGAGACTCGTCACTAAAGACAATACTGTTCCATTCCTGATCCCAGAGTGACCGTTGTCTGCACCACTCAAGGCGATTACGTCGGTGTTCTCGAGTTAAAGGGAGGACCCAGTGTGGCCGGTATGAAAACAAGCCAAAACTTCTCATTCGTCGGTAAACACTTCGCATGCCAATAGGTCTTCCGTGTTTTGCAAACCATTCATTTGCAATGGACCTGGTAGTGGAGAAACAATCTCTTAAGGCCAATAATCTTAGGCGGCGATCTTCACGGTCTGTTGTTCTACGGCGGCGTCCAGTGCCCCTTGCTCTTTGCGTACGGCCTTCTCGAAGCCATGCCTGACAACACCTAACCACAGTGTCTACACTTCTTTGCACTCTGACTGCAATTGCCCGAAAAGAAAGTCCAGCTTCCCGAATTCCCACTATACGGCCCCTATCAAACTCACTAAGTTGACGAAATCGTACAGGTCTCCGTACTCTAGGCATCGTAACCGATCGTAAAGGATGTCAAGAACCAAAACCCGCCAACGTTGATTCTTTACTGCGGCTGAAATATTCATTTTTGGAGCGTTAGTGAATTAAAAAAAAGCAGTATAAAAACCGGAATGTCCAACTGATAAGGCTGAAATTTGTTTCACTTGTTATTTACAGTAAGATAAATACATTCACCAACTTTTATTAAAATAAAACCATTTAAACTGGGTGTTCGGATTTATATGTCACTTAGTATATATTGCACTTACGAATTTGATCTTCCTAATGAATTTCAAATCGTGGCAAAAGTGATTTTATAACCTCTTTGTATCATACACCACTAGGTGACCTTTCTCTGAAAATCTTACAAACGGTAGTCGTTGCTACGTTAAAATGGAACTGGTAGAATACGGCCTGTCACATTAAAGTGAAGACGACAGGCATGTATTCAGAATATTTTCTCAAACGGGTAACATTACTGTTGGATGATGCGTTCATCTACTGAAAAATTCTGGACCAAATTGAACTAATTTCAGTATTTTTTTCATCGGAAGGCTGTTACCACTTTCAATGCTAAAACAACTTGTGATTTATTTTTTGCGATAACAGTACGGTAGTTAATATTTTTGAATCCATATCAAGCAAAAACAGGAAATCTAATGGAACCTTTTATACTACAGATACCATTCTCCCATGGCACAATGGTACTTAGATGCGGCAAGGGAACTAGGCTACGATGTGTTGGATGTAAACGCTGCCCAACAGACTGGGTTCACTTTGTCACATGGTACCCTCAGGGATGGGCTACGGTGCAGTACTGCAAAGGCGTTCCTCAGACCAATCAAAGATCGCCCTAATTTGCATATAACCATGCACTCTACTGTAAGTACTCAAACCTTTAATTCATTTAATCAACGGGTAAAAGCTTTGATACAAATAAAAAACAGTCTTGATTCAAAGAACTATGTACATCGCTATGTTCTCAACACTTTGTTAAACTCATTAGAAAAAGTTCCAAATATTTCAATCTCCCTAGTGTATACAAATGATGGTGGTATTAACAACTACTGTGCCTATGACCTTCAAGGTCAAGTGGATATTTTTAAATCGAACTCGAAATGAAAGACAGAGTCCCGCTGCTTGGCTTAACCAACACAGTCTACTCCATCAATTGCAACAACTGCAACCAAATATACATAAGTCAGACCTCCAGATCACCACACAAAAGTGATTCTAGGCTTCATCCTGAAAGATGCGCTCTAGCATCTCATGTTAACACAACAGGGCATTCTATGAATTACACAAGTATCAAAGTTCTTGATAAAGAAAAACACCTTTCCAAACGTTTATTCCTGGAAATGTCCCACATTTTCATGAATAACAACTGTATCAACAAAAAGACAGATGTTAAACAACTGAGTGTCATTTACTCATATTTGCTAAACTGCGAAAAATTGGAGAACTTACATATCTCTCCAAATTTTGACTCTTCACAACCATAAATGGAATCTGTTTCTTGGTCGATTCCACCAATAAACTTCATTCCACTCAAATTCTAATAATTCTCTTCTCACGATTTAATAATAATTGTTAATTTAATTTCCCATTAATTAAAATATAGTTAATTCAACTGCCTCTGGTCGGTTTAACAATTTCTTACATAACATTCTGAAAATCACATCATCTGAAGTGATTTGGCAACGTTGGCACACGCCCACAATTCGTTCCATCTTTCTACACAAACATTGACAACCTTCGGCCTTCTGTCAAAGGGTTCATCTCACTCATTATTCCATGACCACCATTTTGTGCAATCATCAAATGGCTCCACGATGTAATGCTTTCATGTTTTTAAATAATTTTTAATCTGTTTTTAACTTATTCTTGTCATATTTTATGTAATTTTGACCATTGTACCATCTATCCAGCTTTCACCATGTTACTGGACGTTTCCCTCATCCTATACGTAAACTACAATTAGCAACATCCTCACATACTGCTGTAAGTTAAGTCAATTTAAATTCACTTTACACTATTGTTGCTACTGTTATCATTGTAATTGCAGCTCCTGATGATGATGGCAAAGTCCATTGAAAGCTAGAGAGAATTAAAAAAGTATAAAGAGTCCTCTTTGCTCAAATTTTATCGAAGTACCCAACAAAAGGCGGAAGCTTTAATTTTTCACCTATATATATATATACATATTTATATATACGTATATGGGGATATTTCGGACACTACACAGGTTGCTTTCTCTACCATTATTTTTTGGGATACCCTGTATATACTTCCCTTGCCTATAGAGCAGGAAACGATGCCCACACTTTCAAACTTCAATGCTAGCAATGCTTTGTTTGGAATTAATTCATGAAATTAAACAATTTATAGAAAAATGAATACAACTCTAGATTCGATCGACCTTGAATAAGGACGAGTACTTACTGTGAGAATTAGTACTCACTTTTTTATTCACTGTGCACATCTAATTACTTAACTTTCTATGAGTAGTAGCATTCACTTTTTTTTTATTTAACTATCTCTTAGTTTTATTGTCTTTTTCCCGAAAAGGTAGAAAAGGTGCTCATCCACAACGACACAATGCAAGCATACGGAGTGGTATTCGACAAATTTGGTGTTAAACGAACAGTATATGCAGAAAGAGAAGTGATATTAAGTGCTGGTGCTTTGAGCTCCCCTCACTTACTCATGTTATCTGGTGTTGGACCTAAAATCCACTTGGAAGCACATGGAATTGACGTTCTGGTGGACTTACCAGGTGTTGGTCAGAACTTACAGGTGTGAATAACTTTTATCTATAAATAGTAAAGTCTACGTTTTCTAGTCCCACTCAGGGCGATAAAGTAACTTTAGAGCCCGCTATGTATAAATCGACGAAAGCTGAACAAAATATACAGGGTGTAAACGTTATGATAGTCATTATTTAAATGGGTGATAGAAGGGGTTAAAAGTAGCAAAAAGTTTCATATAACATATAACGCGACTTTAAAGTAAAATAAAATCTGACAAGGCCGCAATTCCAGTCGCAAATTACAACGGAACGCAGAGTAAATAAAGATGGAGTTTGTTATTTTTGGCTCTTAGGTAATATTTCATTATTTAATAATGTACTCGTAAAATGCAAACAATTACAAAAAAAAACGGACTTACCACTAACTGTCTTAGCGCTTCACCTGGTGTGTGAAAGTTTACTGAACGTATTAAAAAATCCACTTATAAATATGATGATACATATATTGTTTTTCTTTTCAAAACCCACACTGCACTTTTTTTGTATTTAAAGAAGGTGTTCAAAATGTCGTCCTCCACTTTCCACACAAACTTTTAATTACGACGAACCTAGTTTCTTCTTACTCTAGGTTCTCGAAGTTGTTCATTCATTATTTCAGCCGCCTTAAAAATTTTTCGCGCAGTTGTGCTTCAGTTGTTATTGGACCAGCCCCATAAACCATCCCTTTAAGTTCTCGCCAATACCAGAAATCTATCGGATTGAGGTCAGGAGATCTTGCTGGCCACTTTCGAGGATTAGGAGGATCCAGCGATTTGGGTAATGCTCATTCAAATACTGAATGACGCCTCTAAAAATGTGTGGTGGTGCCCCGTCATGAAGAAACCACAAATTCTGGCTCCGTTGTAATCAACGAATTCGAATACGGGTAGAAGACGTAAACAAAGGATTATCAATCATCTGGAGTGAAACACAAACTCGAGTAGCTACCAGTTTTCTGCGGTGTTGCCACATTTTGTTCAAAATCAACAAATGATGATGCACTGATCAGTGCAAAAATAATCGTAAAATGTTATAGGTGGTGAAGTGAAGTCTTTGGTACAATTGCACAAATGTCCTTCTGCCTGGGTGTACCCGTTGGCGAAATCTGTCGCGATACATTTGAGCTGCAAGATTTGAAATCTGACGAGCTTCACCGTAAACTAACAACATATCGGCGAACTCATGATTCGAGAACATTGTAAATAAACACGACGACGTACGCGAACAAAAACAAAACAACACGCCCTATGATCTGCTCGACAAAACGATAAAGTAATTTATCTATGCAAAACGATAACTAACCACTGTTACCGTTTGCGATCGATTGCCGGTTCGATAATAGTGATGAAAGACAGACGCGCTGTTGTCATGTGTGACCCCCCTGTTACCCATTTCAATAATGAGTACCATAGCCATGTATATTAACTAATATGGAGGAAAGGATACCGTTTTCGAGTACGGAGAGCTATTGAGCTTTGGAGTTGTTCATAACGTTGGCTAGGCATTTGATTCAAAGACCTGCTACTACTAATTTTCAATACATCTTTTCAGGATCATGTAGCAATGGGAGGCACAACATACTTGTTCGATCCGCACGATGAGAACAAGACCGCAATGTATAGTTTCCAACTGCCAGAGGTGTTCTCTACAGAAACAATAAATAAATTTGCACAGAATCATGAGGGGCCAATCTACTGGCTACCAGCAAGCGAGGTATATTCAAGCATGTCATTCGCTAATAATACTGTTTCCCCCAAATCGCATCAACAGTAATGATTGATAAATCATTCAAGAACAATTAGCATCATTAGACAAATTTTAGTGGTACTAATCAGTCGACGTGCGAACCTTCCCGATAGAATTTATCTCATGGATTGTCCGTAGGTGGCAGACGGTCTCGCACTGTCGTACGTGGAGGTACCACCCGGCGGATGTCTCAGGCAGGGCAGACTATGTGCATGTCATATGTACAAGTGTACCGCATAGTGTTTTTTACAATCTTAATGCTTGCTATTTTTAGCCCTCTAGATTACAACTGCAACAGGTGAAAGAAGCTTTTCGAAATTTAATTTCTGCGAGGCAACTTTGACTTTCAAGCATGGTCCCGCCTCCTCAGGCATGAATGATTTATTAAAAGAAAAAAACGGAAAATATAGCGTCAAGCAGATTGACTCGGTGAAGAATCAAAAAGTTTTAGTTCCATAACGTTTTTTAGGTCATGGGTTTTGTAAATACGAAGTATCAAGACGAAAAAGAAGATTGGCCAGACATACAATACTTCATAACAGCGTATGCTGACAGTACAGACGGAGGCTTGTTCAGTAAGAGAGCAGTCGGACTCACAGATGAATATTACTCAGCAATTTACGAAGATATTATTTATAAAGAAGCATTTAATATCCTAACATTGCTTCTGAGGCCGAAAAGTAGAGGAAGGCTACGTTTGAAAGATAAGAATCCTCATTCGAAGATTTTGATTTATCCAAATTACTATCACGATCCTCGGGATATCAAAGTCATGGTGAGTGATAAATTATTTATAAACAGGCATACTTTTTAAGCATCTCGACGTACTTCCCCAGGCTTGTGTTGCTTATTTAAGGTCAGTTAAGGTCTGAACACTGAGATCTGCGAAAAAACCTATAAAACAGTCATTCCACGTTTGCTCACTAGGATCGTTGTGAACGTCCATCTATGGAGAAATCACTCAACTAAACTGCACGCATTATTGGTTGCATATGTTTTGTGAGACCGAGTGGTCATTGTCTGTATTTTTTATCTCTGGGAAGAAAGTTGGTTGAATAGCAAGATCGCATCTGGATGATTATGTGTATTGGTCCGCATGTGTATAAAATCAGTGATATTTGCTGTGTGTGAGAATCATTTCTGAATATGTTGCCAATGAAGTATATCTATTGGCTGTGCCCGACGGGTTATTTTCATGTTGCGCTTCATGAAAAGTTATAAATTACGAAAAAATTAGGAGATTTACGGGCAATCACCACCGCGCCCGTGTGTGTGTGTAATTACTATTAGCATGTATATGGCTTGCAATTCGACAGTGTACAGTGAATATAATTATTTCATATTTCTCTCATTTTTGAAATTCAGCAAGTTTGTATATGTAATTTCCAGAATGGATAAGTAAAAGTGGATGCGCAACTAATTTCTAGCTTCAATTTAGTGTATTTGCGATAAGAACTCAATGTAATTATCATCAATACATATACTAAGTGACATATAAATCCGAACACCCAGTTTAAATGGTTTTATTTTAATAAAATTTTGTATAAGTACTTAATGAAGCATAATAAGTAAATGATAAAAATTTCAAAATGATTGCACTGCTTTATAGCCCTTTGACCTTTAATAATGTGTGGATGCACCCTGATGTGCTACGCATCCTCCAACGCGCCTAGGCATGCTTCTGATCAGGTGGTCAATGTCCTCCTGTGGTATCTCATTCCAGGCAACCAGCAACTCCTCTCGCAGTGCTTCTAGAGCCTGAGGAGGACGTTGCAAATTGAGCAATCTCCTACCCATCATATCCCACACGTGCTCAATTGGGGATAAGTCGGGAGATCTTGGTGGCCATGGTAACAATGTGACATCATTATGTTGAAAGAAGTCTATTGTGACTCTTACAACATGTGGTCGGGCATTATCTTGTTGGAAAGTTGGATCTGCCAGGGTGTCAAGATAGGGTAAAAGATGGGGTTCTACAACTTCGTGGATATAACGCTGCGCGTTCATGTTACCTCTGATGAAGATTAAAGGTGACCTGGAACCATAAGCTATAGCACCCCAAACCATAACTCCAACAGTGTGATGAACATGTCTTTCAACAAAAAACTGTGGATTCCTCCTTTCACCACGTCGCCTTCTAACCCTGTCACGACCATCGTGCATGCCCAAACAAAATCGAGACTCGTCACTAAAGACAATACTGTTCCATTCCTGATCCCAGAGTGACCGTTGTCTGCACCACTCAAGGCGATTACGTCGGTGTTCTCGAGTTAAATGGAGGACCCAGTGTGGCCGGTATGAAAACAAGCCAAAACTTCTCATTCGTCGGTAAACACTTCGCATGCCAATAGGTCTTCCGTGTTCTGCAAACCATTCATTTGCAATGGACCTGGTAGTGGAGAAACGGTCCCTTAAGGCCAATAATCTTAGGCGGCGATCTTCACGGTCTGTTGTTCTACGGCGGCGTCCAGTGCCCCTTGCTCTTTGCGTACGGCCTTCTCGAAGCCATGCCTGACAACACCTAACCATAGTGTCTACACTTCTTTGCACTCTAACTGCAATTGCCCGAAAAGAAAGTCCAGCTTCCCGAAGTCCCACTATACGGCCCCTATCAAACTCACTAAGTTGACGAAATCGTACAGGTCTCCGTGCTCTAGGCATCGTAACCGATCGTAAATGATGTCAAGAACCAAAATCCGACAACGTTGATTCTTTACTGCGGCTGAAATATTCATTTTTAGAGCGTTAGTGAATTAAAAAAAAGCAGTATAAAAACCGGAATATCCAACTGATGAGGCTGAAAATTTTTCACCACGTCGCCTTCTAACCCTGACACCGACGTAATCGCCTTGAGTGGTGCAGACAACGGTCACTCTGGGATCAGGAATGGAACAGTATTGTCTTTAGTGACGAGTCTCGATTTTGTTTAGGCATGCACGATGGTCGTGCCAGGGTTAGAAGGCGACGTGGTGAAAGGAGGAATCCACAGTTTTTTTTTGAAAGACATGTTCATCGCACTGTTGGAGTTATGGTTTGGGGTGCTATAGCTTATGGTTCCAGGTCACCTTTAATCTTCATCAGAGGTAACATGAACGCGCAGCGTTATATCCACGAAGTTCTAGAACCCCATCTTTTACCCTATCTTGACACCCTGGCAGATCCAACTTTCCAACAAGATAATGCCCGACCACATGTTGTAAGAGTCACAATAGACTTCTTTCAACATAATGATGTCACATTGTTACCATGGCCACCAAGATCTCCCGACTTATCCCCAATTGAGCACGTGTGGGATATGATGGGTAGGAGATTGCTCAATTTGCAACGTCCTCCTCAGACTCTAGAAGCACTTCGAGAGGAGTTGGTGGTTGCCTGGAATGAGATACCACAGGAGGACATTGACCACCTGATCAGAAGCATGCCTAGGCGCGTTGGAGAATGCGTAGCACATCAGGGTGCATCCACACATTATTAAAGGTCAAAGGGCTTTAAAGCAGTGCAATCATTTTGAAATTTTTATCATTTACTTATTATGCTTCATTAAGTACTTATACAAAATTTTATTAAAATAAAACCATTTAAACTGGGTGTTCGGATTTATATGTCACTTAGTATACAACTTACAGTTAAGACCTCCAGTAATGCCATCTCAGAAGCAGACTTTACATCACATCAGAGCCAAAGATTGATAACATGCCTCATGAAGTTAACATCTTGTAGAAAAACCTACATAATGTAAATAAAAACAGCATAATGTCAAAAAAAAGACGGCAAACATGTTGTCCAGACAAAATTTGTGATTCCGCCAGAAGCCGTCGAAAAGTACGTGAGTTTATCAACAATGATCCAAAATCATCATTGAGCTAAATATAAATGGAATTAAATATCTCTAACGATTCAATCCATCGCATTTTGAGCAAGAATTTGGTCCGTGTAAAACGCTGTATTAACTCTGAGACTATTTTGAATAAAATAAATTCGATTTTCCCAAACAAAAAACGTTTGTTCATTTTTTGTTTGTCCTGTTTACTTTGCGAAAGGCCTTGTAGATAATAATAATAACGTTTATTGGTCCAATTACAAAGTTTTCGTATAAATAATAACGGCAATGTCCAATAAACATAACATAGCCAAAAAAGTGTACACTTGTTCTTGGGTTTTAACCGAACTTGAGTTATATTAATACAACAAATTTTCTTTAAGTATACTAGTCAAATGTATGAATTTGCATCATTTTATGATCAAATAATGGATTTGTAGCCTTGGTTGATTTAGGATCCATGGTTTTAATTCAATTTTTAAACGTTTTTTACATTTTATATGTTTAAAGTTTGTAGGAATAACATAAAATTTTGAGTATAGAAAATAGAATGATCTTTGGCTGATAGTTTTCGCGTTTGATGGTTGTGGCTGATAGAAAGTAACAATTTTGGATTTTTTGTTAAATATATTATTGTATGATAAAAATAAATTTGCCGGCAGTCGAGAAGCTGAGATTCATTGTAAAGATTTTTTGAGGGATAACATTTATTTTTGTTCAACATAAGTTTCAAAATCCACTTCTGCGTCTTTTCTTTTTATAATAATTATTCATGACTCCCTCCATGCTAAGATTCCTTAAGATAGTAATGATTGGACAAGGGCATGATATGTCATGTGTAGATATTTTTCGCATAAAAAACTGCTGAAATATTTGACTTTCGGAATAAGGTATCTGACTTTTCTTACTGAATTTTCAATACGTTTATTCCATCTTAGATGGTTATCTATGAATATCCCTAGGTCTTTAAAATTACCATGATTGTATGTTTCTACAGCTATTCAACGTTTTAATTTGGAGTTGATTAAAATTTGGGGAAGATCTGTTGTCGCAAAAAAATGTAATAAAGTATGTTTTGTTGAAATTGACTGTTAAAATCCTTTCCGTGAAAAAATTTGTAACCTTTTGAAAATCTAATACAATTTTGTTTTTTAAAGAAGTCCAATCTTTGTCTGAGTAAATAATTGCCGTATCGTCTGCGAAACCAATAATTTCTCCATAAAGGTCATTAATATATAAATTAAACAGCATTGGTCCTAATACGGTTCCTTGTGGAACTCTGCATCTAACAATCATATTTTCACTCAGTGTACTGTTGATGTTCACACATTGTGTCCTGTTTTCCTATTAACGTTTCATGAGTTGATAAGTCACTCCACGAAATCCTAAATTTTCCAAGGTTCTTTATAATTTTTGATGCGTAATACTATCGAATGCTTTTCAAAAAGGCATGGTGTTTTTATTAGCAACGTACTTGTAAATTTTGGTTGTAAACTGAATAAGTGCATCTTGAGTTGATTTTGCTTCCTGGAATCCATATTGCTCTTCCGATATGGGGTTGTCTTTCGCAATAAAATCTGAAAGCGTTTTTTAAGAATTTTTTCGAAAATTTTTGAAAAGTTTGTCAATACTGAAATTGGGCGATAATTACAAGGTTTCTGTTTATCTCTAGATTGAAATACAGGTTTTATTATTGCCTTTTTTAATTGGGTCGGGAACATTCCTCTTTCCATGCATGTTTTATATGCTAATACTTTAGAAATTTTATAATTTATTTGTTTCAGAGTGTTTACGGTTATATTATCAAATCCCGGTGATTTCTTAACTTTCAGTCGCTTTATGATATGTTCAATTTCGTATTGATCGGTCTGTGTCAGATACAGGGAATTTTGCAATATGGTTTTCATATATGAGTTGTGTTTCATTTGAAATGTCTTCTGTCAGATTCTCACCAATTTCAGAAAAATATTTACAAAATTCATTGCCTGTTTCAATATCGCTTTTTGTAAGTCCACCATTTTCTTTTTGTTCAGCAGGAATTTCTTGGCATTTTTTGAGAATGTTGCATTTTTCTATGAAATGCCATTTTTCAAAAGTTTTAATTTAGCCTCTTTTATAATCGTGGTTAATTTATTTCTGTATAATTTAAATCCATTTAGAAATTCCTAATCGTGTGGAATTTTTTTTGTTTCTCTATAGAGCTTAATTTTTTTGTTAACGGATGTTATAATTCCATTCGACATCCATGGCTGCCTTTTAATATTCTTTCGTGGAATCTTTATCGGATTTTTACATGAATTTGTATGTTGTTGAAGCTGTAAGGTAAAAAGATCAAATGCCTTTTCAGGATCGTCTTGATTCTATATCTCTGACCAGTTTTCATCAGATTGTCAAAAAATATTTTCTTAGCTAGCAACAAGAATCCTGTATTGCAGTCGCGATAATGCAAAAATATACAGGGCATTTAATCTCCTTCGCCAAAAAATCCATTTTGCGTATTTAACCACTTTGTATTGATCATTCAAAAGGTTCGGAAAATGTGTGAATTAGGCTGAAATTGAGTATAATAAAAAACGGCACAAAACTGACGACTCCACCTGTCAACATAGCGGATATGCCGGTTGTCAAACTTTGATTTTTTGATATAGGGTGTTTCGAAAAGACGGGCCAATATTTTTTGGGTAGAAAGTACGTCCAAAAATAACAAAAAAAGCTTCTATCAGGGTTCAAAGACGGTCTTCTATCGAGATACGGGGTGATGAAGTTTTACTTATGAAATTAAAAAATATACAGGGTGTCCGCAAAGTTGGGGTTTTCCTTTACACGACGTGTAGATCTTGAAAACATAAGCAATTTTTCTTAGTACCATATACACCAATGTCTTAAGGGAACCGAGATAAAGGGCTCTGCAACATCAAAAATATCTGAATACCGTCCTGTAGCCGCGACATCACCGACTGGTACAAGGTCACTGGCTCAACCCGACGACAGAACTGGGTCGGGGTCAGTCTGTCAGGTCAGTATGCTACCTTCAACCGACGGTTACGGTCACGCGTGTAGAGGTAATCGCGTAGACGAGAATCCCTCAACAAGCACTAGACACGTGGCTAGAGAAGTGCAAGTATCAAAAACTAAAGTGTGGCAAACGCTGCGTGAAGAGGGGCTGTATCCGTGTACAAGCCCTTCAATCTGACGATTTTCCAGCAAGAGTGCGGTTTTGTGAGTGGTTGTTGCATCAACATGACAATAATCCGGACTTTTTGAAGTGCATATTGGTGACAGACGAATCTACGTTCACGCGTAATGGGGTGAATAACTTTCGCAACACTCATGTTTGGTCAGTAGAAAATCCGCACGCTGTCCGTCGGGCACATTTTCAACAAACATTTTCGGTGAATGTTTGGGCTGGCATGGTGAACGGTATGCTCATTGGACCATTTATTCTCCCAAATCGATTGGACGGGATGCAATACCTAGACTTTTTACGCAACATTTTGCCTTCCTTGTTAGAAGATGTGCCATTAAGTGTAAGACAATCAATGTGGTTTCTGCGTCTGCTCGGTAGCGCATCAGCTGATTTCATTTTCTGTTGGAGCGGTATGATTTCGGGCAGAGACGTACTTAGCCCTTCTCGTCAACTGGAGAGTGAGTACTTTTTCCTTTATTTTTTTTTACTTTCACTACACATTACCTTTGTTATTTCAAGGGTAGTTGTTTCTAAAAAGGAAAACCCCAACTTTGCGGACACCCTGTATACATATAAAGTGCTAGGATTTCATACATCAGCAGTCAACACCAGATAGGTAGAAACTGGGGTACCTCTAATAGGAAATATTTTCTACGGCACCAGACTTTTAAGAGAAAACAAGTGCATTTTCTGAGATACCATTCAATTTTCCTAAATTTTGTCTCTTAAGGAATTTTTGACACATCACTTGTTTTGGAGATATTTAGGTTTGCTTACTCGAGGAAAAATCCTAAAATATTTGATGAAACATGCTCTCAGTTACCAGATATAATAATTGAAGACACAAGTGGACACTAACCTTAAGGAGCGATTATTTCATTCTGTGATTACTGTGTTGCAAAAACAAGATAATAACGAACTAATTAAATTTCGATAAAGTCCCAATGAAAAATGTTTAAAGTCAATTTCTTCCATACAATCAATGGTTTTTTTACAAATCGTAAATACTATTAAGTACGAAAAACTTGAACGAGAACATGCTGCTGCTATTGGAATTTCGGTGAGAATATGGAAAAAATATATGACAACATAATAGGAAATATAAAAACTTGTTTAGATCTTGCAACTGATAAAAAAGTGATTTGCTCGACAAAAAATACACCCTGGTATAACAAGAATATTAAGGCAGCTCAAAATTTGAGAGACAAATAATACAATAAATGTATATTCACAAAATCAAATGATGATTGGGAGGTACATAAAACTCTTAGGAATAAATGTGTATATGTAATTAGAGAAGAAAAAAGAAAATTCTACGATAAACAAATCGATAATAACAAGTGCGACAGTGTAAAGATGTGGAAGACTTTAAAAAGACTGATCAATTCGAAGCCGCATGATTGTGTAAATCAAGTTCAATTCGAAAACGGTACCGAAACAAATTCTTTGGTGATTGCAAACAAACTAAATGAATATTTTGTGGAAAGTATTGTTGATATTGTAGGTACTGCCAATGCTGCACCTGACTATATGAAAATCAGTTTCCAGGGGGAAATGTTGCATACACTTTCAAAATTTCACAGCGTATCATTGAATTATCTAAAAAAAAGTAATCAGTTTAAAATCAAATAACAACTGTGCCGAAATGACTACTAAAAACGTGCTGAAAAACTGTTTCGAAATTTTGTGATATCCTGTATTAAATTGGATCAATTGTTCACTGAGAAGCAGTTCTTTCCCTGAAAATTTGAAATGCTCTACAATAACACCAGTTCCCAAAATAAAAAATTTTAAAAGATGCAGCGATATGAGACCAGTAAATGTGTTACCAGACATTGAAAAATTATTAGAGTCCATAGTGCATGACCAATTAATGCAGTTTATAGAAGAAAACAAAATTTTAGTGGAGGCGCAAGCAGGCTTTCGAAAAAAGTGTTCCACAGAAACAGCTTTCCAGTTGGTAACTGAGAATTGGAGAAGAGCCATAGACTCAGAAGAAGTTGTCATTGCAGTATTTTTGGATTTGAAGAGGGCATTTGAAACGATTGATAGAGATATTTTGTTAGGTAAATTGAAGGCATATGGTATAACAGTGTTTTAGATTGGTTTCGAAATTATTTGTCTAAAAGGATGCAAGTTACAAAAGTTAATGACACTATTTCATCAAAATTGAAAATACGTTGGGTGTTCCACAGGGCAGTATCCTGGGACCACTTCTTTTTATTTTATACATAAATGATTTACCTGCCATAGTAAAAAATGCAAAATTCTGATTTTCGCCGATGACACTATGATTTATATAAGTACTAAACATATTCAGTCTGGTATCTCTTATATAAATGAAGACTTGAAACTTGTCGCAAAATGGTTAGCATCTAAAAGACTAAAATTAAATGCAAGTAAAACGAAAGCCTTGTTAATCGGAAAAAAACAATGTACAAATGTTCAACTGAATATTGATGGTGAAGATATTGAATTCGTAGAAAATTTTAAATACCTGGGAGTTTTTGTTGACTATCGATTAATTTTTGATATTCATTATGAAAAAGTTATAAACAAGATTAGTAGTAAAGTGGGATATTTATCGAGAGTTTCTGGATGTCTGAGTTCATATAGCAGAAAAATTATCTATAATACCATCATTCTTCCAAATTTCTTGTACTGTTCGACTATTCTATATTTAGCAAATAATTCCATTTTTGAAAGACTGCAAATTTTACAAAATAAGTGCATGAGAATAATACTAAATAAAGACAAATATACTCCAATTAGGCAAATGCTTAGCAAATTAAAATGGCTCAATGTAAAAAATTTTATCAAATATCTTGTAATGATATTCATTTATAAAGTAAAAAATAATATATTTCCATCAAGTCTAACTAATTTAACATCATCAAATGATACCAGAAATAAAGATAACTTCCATTTAATGACCAAAAAGTATAACATATGCTACAAATCTGTATTCCATCAAGGGTTGATTGAATATAATAAATTATACTGGGAGATAAAAGACCAGAAAACTTTGACAAAATTTAAAGTAAAATTGAGAAATCACTTGTTAAATCTACAATTATAGGTTGCCCAGCATTTACATCATACACCATATGGCTTGAATTTACTAGTTCTAAGTTGTTTACAATTGTTCTGTTTATGTGCTAAATAAATCTTTCTACTACTACTACCTTATCCACTTCTGTCATAAATTTATAGATTTTTTTGAAAACTTTTTGCTTAGGAACAATACTACGTCCTCGCTTAGTTGTACATACACACATTTTTATGAAAATATCTATTGCAGGTGGAAGGTGCCAAGATCGCACATAACTTGACACAAATGCCAGCGTTACAAAAATACAACACCACCATAAATGCTTTCAAGATGCCTGATTGCGTACATCTCGAGTTTCTTTCAGACGAATATTGGGAATGCCAGGCTAAGCATTACACCTTGACGATATATCATCCTATTGGAACCGCTAAAATGGGACCCGATGATGATCCTATGGCAGTTGTGGATCCGCGGTTGAACGTCAGAGGTAATTTTTTGAGAGAGGGGGAGAAATTTTGATTCACGTATGCGAAATGATCTCGTTCAGATCATTACATTACCAGTTACCTAATTGTTCGTTGAACGTTATGAAATATTCAATATATTTTCCCAGTTTGGAATCGAAATAGGAAATAAATTACAGACTCTACTCCATAAATTCCAAAATCGAATATTATATTTTGTCTTCCAATGGACGAGAATTGAACATTTTAAAAATCGTTCAAACAGTATCTAGTACTAAAACCGAAAACTAAATAAGAATATTTTAACTGTACAATGATGTTTGTTTTCGTTTTGATATTCTTGACACTGTCAACAGAAAATAACAAAACAAGTTTTTATCGCTGTTGCTGCGGATACGGCAGGGAATTACAATTATTTGTAGATATATGCATGTTAGTGGGTTTGTGTTCAAGTAATTATTAAATGTACCACCGTTTTGTAGTAGGAAAGTATTAGTCAGGAGCTTCAAAATGATGTGCCCAATCTTGACATTTTCATCTGTCAATTTTACTCTAAAATATGGTATACACGCATCAATTTCATTACGCCTTTCCTGCCATTTACACTCTCTATTATGGCCATGCTGTGTTATACTGGTAGTAACATACTGTATGGTTGTCACCCAGGAGGATATGCTCTTCCCAGGAGGATATGCTCTTTCCAGGAGTCTAATGAGCACTTATGGTGTACCACTGTCAAATTATTTGATGGAATTCAGCAAAATAGCCTTAATTGTGTAAGTCCATGTGACTAAACCTGCTGTTTCCATCAGCTGGACTATTTTGTCAGATATCAATTAATTGCTGATAAAAATCCTAAATCATAGGCAACCAGTAATTATCGCAGTAAGATCAGAATACCAACTATAGCCAAGTAAAAGTATGATCTGGTGGTTATCCCAGCACTCCAGTAGGCTGCAAAGAGTTAAAGCCCTTTGACCTTTAATAATGTGTGGATGCACCCTGATGTGCTACGCATTCTCCAACGCGCCTAGGCATGCTTCTGATCAGGTGGTCAAAGGCCTCCTGTGGTATTTCATTCGAGGCAACCACCAACTCCTCTCGAAGTGCTTCTAGAGTCTGAGGAGGACGTTGCAAACTGAGCAATCTCCTACCCATCATATCCCACACGTGCTCAATTCGGGATAAGTCGGGAGATCTTGGTGGCCATGGTAACAATGTGACATCATTATGTTGAAAGAAGTCTATTGTGACTCTTGCAACATGTGGTCGGGCATAATTTTGTTGGAAAGTTGGATCTGCCAGGGTGTCAAGATAGGGTAAAAGATGGGGTTCTAGAACTTCGTGGATATAACGCTGCGCGTTCATGTTACCTCTGATGAAGATTAAAGGTGACCTGGAACCATAAGCTATAGCACCCCAAACCATAACTTCAACAGTGTGATGAACATGTCTTTCAACAAAAAACTGTGGATTCCTCCTTCCACCACGTCGCCTTCTAACCCTGGCACGACCATCGTGCATGCCTAAACAAAATCGAGACTCATCACTAAAGACAATACTGTTCCATTCCTGATCCCAGAGTGTTGTCTGCACCACTCAAGGCGATTACGTCGGTGTTCTTGAGTTAAAGGGAGGACCCAGTGTGGCCGGTATGAAAACAAGCCAAAACTTCTCATTCGTCGGTAAACACTTCGCATGCCGATAGGTCTTCCGTGTTCGGCAAACCATTCATTTGTAATGGACCTGGTAGTGGAGAAACGGTCCCTTAAGGCCAATAATCTTAGGCGGCGATCTTCACGGTCTGTTGTTCTATGGCTGCGTCCAGTGCCCCTTGCTCTTTGCGTACGGCCTTCTCGAAGCCATGCCTGACAACACCTAACCACAGTGTCTACACTTCTTTGCACTCTAGCTGCAATTGCCCGAAAAGAAAGTCCAGCTTGCCGAAGTCCCATTATACGGCCCCTATCAAACTCACTAAGTTGACAAAATCGTACAAGTCTCCGTACTCTAGGCATCGTAACCGATCGTAAAGGATGTCAAGAACCAAAATCCGCCAACGTTGATTCTTTACTGCGGCTGAAATATTCATTTTTAGAGCGTTAGTGAATTAAAAAAAAGCAGTATAAAAACCGGAATGTCCAACTGATAAGGCTGAAAATTTTTTCACTTGTTATTTACAGTAAGATAAATACATTCACCAACTTTTATTAAAATAAAACCATTTAAACTGGGTGTTCGGATTTATATGTCACTTAGTATATTTTGAACATGTACTTCACGAAAAAAACAGCCACTTCCGTCGGTCGGTTTGTCTGTCTGTCCGCTAATCCGTGTCTATAATTTGTAGAAGAGTTGATGAAATTCCCACTCCTGTGGTTATTTTTTTTTCTCCCAGAGAAAGTCTAGTTTTCTTATTTCTAGGTGTGAAAAACCTAAGAGTGGTGGACTGCTCGATAATGCCGTACATCACAAGTGGCAATACGAATGCACCTGTAATAATGATAGCTGAAAAGGCTTCTGATATGATCAAGGAAGACTGGGGTGCACTTAACCGATATTATGATTCCGATGAAGAAAGTCCTGAGGATCAAGAACAAGGTGTTTTTGCTCAAGGTATCATCACAGCACTAACTCATTACAAAAGCTTGTATATCGAGATATAATCTCTTTACTTCTAGAGTAAGAGGGTCTTGCGAATGGAGTAAGTGTTTTGGAAAAGTTGTAAATTTTTTTGCAAGCTGATTCGGAACCGCTGTTCAATATATTTTTGTTCACACACATTCCTGATTAAGCTGTTACAATACAAGCTTATTTTAAATTCAGAGAAAAATTAGTTTTTTGTAATTTAATAGCAACTTAATAAACGATGTTTGTTAATTTGATTTCAGTCGTATAGAATGATTTCTATTCATTTATTGCAACTAACAACTCACTGAAGGTGACCTGAAATAGATTGACTTATATCTTTGAAAGTTGCAAATCGTATTGTGCATCCTTACTAAAAATAACTAGATCTAAAATTTATCCAAAATTCAATCTAATCTGGATGACTGTGTAACAAACATTTTTTTCAAAAATACATCGTTTTCACCATTTTCTGAAATAGCAAACAAAATAAAAGATGAAAAAGAGTATTGAAAATCAGTCAAAGCACAATGTTGAATACACGCGTTTCTCTGCACTTTGGAAACAAATGCAATCCATTGAAAACTATAGTCATGCTCAGAAGTAGACAAAAATACTCCATAGAAACTCAAAAAGTGCGGGAAATCTAGTGTGCCATCCCTCAACTAACTTTGACTGATTATAAACAATAGTTTTAAACGGGTTATGTTGCTTCCCAGAGATGGAATTAAAACGACGACTTTTAAAATGGTTTTTTCAGTTTTAGCCTTTTCCGTAGCCCTTAATTTGGGAGTCAATATCAAATCACTGATTACGTCAATATCATAAAAATTGTCATTATAAAAATTCAATCTATTCAGTGTTTCGTGATATACACATAAAGGCTATTTTTGAAAAATATTTTATAATTATAATAATAATAGACGTCTTTATGTTCAAAAGAATACACTATCCACAAACAGATTTGGTTCATTACATCGAAAGTAAAATTTAAAAAAAGAGAAAAAAGCATACTTTCACAACCCAAATGCACCAAAAAATTATTAATCTGAATTAAAGATGGAATAAAAAAGAAATGAATGATTACGTAAATTATATGTTTGGAGGGTTGAGTAATAAAGTTTTAACTTTTTGTCGAAAGACAGGTAATGAAAATTCTTTATATACTTTAGGAAGGTCATTATAAATAATAGCAACATTGTAAGAAAACCTGCGTTTAAAAAGTGTAGACGTATGCAGGGGTATTCTAATATTATTTTCTCTGAGAGTTCTACAGTGAACATCATTATTAAATGAAATTTTTTCCTTCAAGTAATAAGGTTTAGACGTTAGCAGCAATTTGTGAACAAACACTGAATAGTGATACATAATTTTTAACCAGTTTAGAACGGGATATTTCGCTGATACATGATCAAATTTACGTAAGCCAAAAATGAATCGTATGCAATTATTTTATAATAATATTTATAACTTGAATAACGTTTTTAGTGAAATTGTCTAAACAAGTATAGTATACGATATTACAATAATTTAGTATAGATATGACCAATGCTTCACATAGTTTTTTACGCATCTTAAAATTTAGTAAATACCTGTTTGCTATAAGAGTGCGCAGCCGTAGGTAGGTTTTCTGAGATAGACTTTTAATATGTTCAATAAACCTTAATTTTGTATCAAAAACAACACCAAGAATTTTTGCAGAATCAGAAAATTGCAAAATTTGGTTATTTATCTGAATGTTCAAGAGCTGTGTTACATTGTATGTTTTTCTTTTTTTTTTTTTATATCGAAACAGCCGCGCAGGCAGAAGCCTAAATGCCGGAACACCGCGGCTGCTATGATGATCCCAAAGAAATTTTGTTAATACGATTTTTGAACTGCCTAAGGTTGGTAGAACAGGGAAAAGCTTCCTCCCGTAGATTGTTCCACAATCTAGACACCCTCGGGACAAAGGAGCGGTCGTATCGGCCAGTTCTGGATGTACGAAGTTTGACACGGTTAGGATGGGACGCCGAAGTCAGGCGGGTCTGTCTGGCAGGCACATCGCGCGGCGGCATCATGGAAGAGAGCTCTGAGGAGCAAAGCCCGCCGGCGTAGCGATAGAAAAGAGCCAGATCGCCAACGGCCCGCCGGTGCGAAAGAGTCCCGAGACTGTCTGTTAGAGAAGAGTCATCGATCAGTCGAACCGCCCTCCTCTGGACAGCATCGAGCATGGACAATGTAGTCGGGGCGGCAGCACCCCAAATGTGTGAGCAATACTCGAGGCTGGGCCTTATCTGGGCCTTGTATAGAGTGAGAAGGTCATGCGGAGTACTTTTAGCCCTAAACAAATAGCCTAGCTTTTCCCAGCAGCTGCAGCTATTGAAGAGATGTGTTCGTGCCAGATCAGGTCCTCGGTGATCTGGACTCCGACCAGCCGAAATGAATGGCTCTTTGGTAGAACTCGACCGTCCATCGAAACTGTGTGAGCGCTAGGACGCTTTTTGTTCGTCAAAGTACAGTAATGTGTTTTGGAAGCATTGAACTGTACAAGATTGTTGCGTCCCCAAGCAGTGATAGCCTCCAGGTCTCTTGTCAGAGAAGAAGTCGTCGCTAGTCTTCTTTTTTCCAGCTCAGCGGCAGAGATCGGCTTGTCACTCTGAATTCCTGCATGTAGAGTGCTGTCATCAGCGAAGCTGTGGATTGGGTTGATCGTGCAGGAAAGGAGGTCGTTGATATGTAAGAGAAACAGTGTTGGAGCCAAGACCGATCCCTCGGGAACACCCGCGTTGACGTTGTGGGATGAAGAGAAGAATCCGTCAATTACGACGGATATCTTGCGGCCAGAGATATAGTCAGCCACCCATCTGCAAAGCTTTTCTGGGAGGCCGTAGGATGGAAGTTTGCTCAAGAGGGCAGCGTGCCACAGCTGATCGAACGCTTTCGTGATGTCAAGAGCAACGACATGAGCCTCACCATGAGACTGGATGAGTTTACTCCACAGTTGCGTGACGTAAGCTAGGAGGTCCCCTGTGGATCGTTGGTGCCGGAAACCGTACTGCCTGTCGCTAATCCAGCTGTGACGTTCGAGGTAGTCCAGAAGCTCGCGATTTATGCACCTCTCCATCACTCCTCCTCACACAGATAGCAGAGCTATAGGCCTGTAGTTGTAAGGGTCGGTTTTAGATCCTCTTTTTGGGATAGGCTGTACATGAGCAAATTTCCAGTTTTCTGGGAAGGTGCCGGATTCATAAGATATCTGGAAGAGACGCGAAAGAACTGGAGCAAGCTCAGCTGCACATCTCTTCAGTACAATGGCAGGAATCAAGTCCGGACCAGAAGCTTTGTTGATGTCGAGCGACAAGAGCACTCGTCTTACGGTCTTATGCCTGAATGTTACCTCCCGCATAGTGTGGGTAACCCTTTGAATTGACGGCACTTGGGCGTTGGTGGGGACGTCCATGGTGGAGTTAGCAGCAAAGATCTTGGCTAGCACTTCCGCCTTGGCCTTTGAGTCGAATACAATAGTTCCATCCTGACACGTAAGTGGTGGAAGGCTACTGTGTGAGAAGTTCTTTTCAATCTGCTTGGCCAGCGTCCAGAAAGACCTACTGCCATTGCTCTGCGACATTAGCCTGTGCCTAACTTTTATATCATGCTGGGTTTTGGCATTGCGAACCGCTTCGTTATATTTGTTTCTGGACGTCGGCTTGTCTGTTCTCTACAGTGGGGTTTTGTAAGTAGGTTCTGTGGGCCTTGATCTTCTGCTGGCGAGCAGTGTCACACGATTTGTTGAACCAGCCGTTGGACCCTGGTTTAGGAACTTTCACTGTGTGAGGGATGTATTCCTCCATTCCGACGTGGATAATTTCGGTTATTGAAGAACAGACAGTCGACGCATCCGCGTCAGTGAAACAGACATCTCTCCAAGGAAAGCTAGAGAAGAAGTCTCTGAGCCCCTCCCAGTCGGCATGTCCGTAATGCCAAGTTTTGCGGCCTGTGCGAGTTTCTGCTGCCACAGCGGCTTCTGACCGAAACCTAACCTCCACAACACCGTGATCTGAGTTACCCAGGGGGGACAGGACAGCAGTGCTGTAAGGGGCAGGATGAGTGGTCAGAAAGAGATCCAGCAGGCTACTGGCGTGTGACGAGACGCGGGGGAAAAAAGTAGGGCTCGTCACCAGCTGGGTCAGCCCTTGAGTAAGAGCGAACGCTTCGACTGCACGACCTGCTACATCGGTCTTATTTGAGCCCAACCAAAGCTCATTATGGGCATTGAAATCACCGAGAAGAACTACCCTCTTGTGCGCAAAATTATAACATTTTAGATTTTTGTGGATTAATAAGTAGATTGTGATCTAAAGAGTATTTAATTAATTTATTAACATCGTTTTGTAAAATTTGAGTAGTATTATTGACATTATCTGGGATAAAATAATGGAGCAATTGCGTATCGTCTGCAAATGACTGGACATGAGAATTATCAATACTTTTGCTTAAGTCGAACGTATATATGAGGAACAGAAGCGGCCCCAATACAGAGCCCTGAGGTACGCCTGAGGGAATTATTGTCACTTGAGACATTTCTTGATTGAGAAAAACACACTGAGTTCTTTGATGAAGGTAACTGTCGAAAAATGAAAGAGATACACTGTCAAGACCTATGTAATTTAATTTAGCAAGTAATAATTTATGATTGATGCTGTCAAAGGCTTTCGAATAGTCTATAGAGATTAAGGCAAGTGCCATTTTCTTATCTAAGGCACTTAAAATATTGTCTTGCAGATTAAGTAGGGCAGATGTTGTACTATAATTTTTTCTAAAACCGGATTGAGTGTCGGGAAATATAAAGAATTTTTCTAGGTAAGCGGTCAATTGGAACTTTATAATTTTTTCTAAAATTTTGGATAACATTGTTAATAAACTGATAGGTCTGAGATCATTATACTCAGTGGGTTTCATTTTTTTAGGAATTGGAATAATTAGAGCTTGTTTCCATGTGTTTGGAAAATAGCCGTTAAAGATGTGGACGATGTGATGGAGAATAACTGGCAGGCAAAGCTGGATCATTGACAGGGATATACCATCAATTCCCTTTGCATCAGATTTTAGGCTCCCTATTGCCTGTAATACGTCATTTGAACTAATCTTATTCAATGAAAAAATATATCCAGGGCTTAATTTATTTTTGAAATAGTTTTCGCAAACTAGTGAATCAACAGGTTTATAGCTATAAACAGACATAAAATAATCATTAATTTTGATAGGGTCATTAAAACTTGCCGGAAGGGTTGGTTTACTACGAAAATTTATATCAAGTTGTTTGAGAGACTTCCACAATTTTTTTGAATCATTTTCATTTGCTAAATTTTTGATATACATGTATGTCTTTTTGTCCCTCCTGATCATGTTAGGAGCACGGTTTTTAAGCGATTTGAAGTTATTATACGCGTCCACGGTCTTATTAGTTTTATATAAAGCATGTGCAGTATTCTTTTCATCAAGAACAGTGCGCAGTTCATTTGTTAACCAAGGTGATGGTGGCTTATTAACTCTTACAGTTTTAAAAGGTGCATGTTTATTATGGGTTTCCACGATAACGCTTGTAATGTGCATTACCTTCTCATCAATATTAGATTTCGTAAATAATTCATCTATATATTTTTCACGACATTTTTACTACTGCTACTATTCATCACTAAATACCTGATTTATTATTAATTTTCAGATGAGGACTTGGGTATGCAATCTCCATCAAATGCAAGTGTTGTCAAACTACAAAAAACACCTCCCAGGCAAGATTTAGACTATTGGTAAATCAAGTGCTCTGGCCAATTTTGTTATCTATTTTCGAAATAAATGGGTTTTTCTGAACGTTACGTGTTAAGTGATTTCAAGGGACCATAATAAAATGGCGTCAAGTAGATTGAGTCTATACCTCTTACACCTTCTTTGGAGGCTTCAAAGAATAAAAGATGAGTCAAATCGTTTCAAAAGGCGAAATTGAACCGTAATTAGGAAGGTTCACTTAGGATACGTATGTCCTAAAAGTTTTGGCATAAAATATTTATCGGATTATTTTTTATTAGGTACATGTATCTAACATGGTCAGGGCATTCCTCTACGTTGTTTGTATAAAATCCGTCGTTTCCCTTCATTTCAGAATTATTCAAAGTGAAATACTTTTCGTCACCTGAAATAATAATTTTCCCATTGGCAAAGTGTACGTGCCTCAGTTGAAGACACAACATCTTAGAGCGAAAGCTTTAAAATAAATAAATGTCAACTGACCGTAAGGTTAGTCAACACACTTTTATTTCTAAAGGCAACTTGATATTATTTTGTGTTTGTTAAAATTAAAGCCAACGAATTTTGTGTCAAAACATACGTTATGACAAATTTCCGACTTCTGCATATGAAACTATACAGGGTGTAAACGTTATGGTAGTCATTAATGAAATGGGTAATAGGGGGGTCAAAACAAGTCAAAAAGTTTATATAACCCATGGTCCAAAAGTCAATAGATTTTTGTCTAAATGGCTTTATAGTTTACAACTTTAAGTGCTTTATATCGACCACAATCACCACAATCTTAATAATTTTAATAATCTAATCTAAATAAATTGGGTAACTAACAAATAAATGGCATTAAGTTTTTCTAAGTTAAGCCAAAATTTGTAGTCAGTAAGTTTAATTAAATTAAATATTTAAAACACACATGACAACAGCGCGTCGGTCTTTCATCATTCTTATCGAACCGGCAATCGATCGCAAACGGTAACAGTGATTAGTTATCGTTTTGCATAGATAAATTACTTTATCGTTTTGTCGAGTAGAACATCAGGCGTGTTGTTCTGTTTTTGTTCGCGTACGTCGTCGTGTTTATTTACAATGTTCTTGAATCAAGAGTTCGAGCTCGAAACATTACAGTATGAAATATATTAGGGTACTGAACCAAAGACTTTCTTTTCGGTGCAGGTGTTACAAACAATTTATAACTGTACATACGCATGAGTTGTTCTATTCGAAAATACAACATATTGGAGACAAATTAATACTCTTAATTTAGTTATCACCACGTATAACATTTTACGATTATTTTTGCACTGGTCAGTGCATCATCAATCGATTGCATGAAAGCAGTTGTTGATTTTGAACAAGATGTGGCAACACCGCAGAAAACTGGTAGCCACTCGAGTTTGTGTTTCGCTCCAGATGATTGATAAAAGCAAATCCTTCTTCTACCCGTATTCGAATTCGTTGATTACAACGGAGACAGAATTTGTGGTTTCTTCACGACGGGGCACCACCACACATTTTTAGAGGTGTCATTCAGTATTTAAATGAACATTATCCAAATCGCAGGATCGGCCGAAATGCTCCTGATCCTCGAAAATGACCAGCAAGATCTCCTGACCTCAATCCGATGGATTTCTGGTATCGAGGGGAACTTAAAGGGATGGTTTATGGGGCTGGTCCAACAACAACTGAAGTATAACTTCACGAAAAAAAAAATTTATGCGGCTGAAATAATAAATGGTCAACTTCGAGGACCTAGAGTAAGAAGAAACTGGGTTAGTTGTAATGAAGATTGTGTGGAAAGTGGAGGACGACATTTTGACCACCCTCTTTAAATAAAAAAAAGTGCAGTGTGGGTTTTGAAAATAAAAACAATTTATGTATAAAAATTGTGTTCCCTATCTATACGTATAAGCGGATTTTTTTAAAACGTTCAATAAACTTTCACACACCAGGTGAAGCGCTGAGACAGTTAGTGGTAAGTCAGTTTTTTTAATAGTTTGCATTTTACGAGTACATTATCAACTGATGAAATAATACCTAAGAGCCAAAAATAACAAACTCCATCTTTAGTTACACTGCGTTCCGTCGTAATTTGCGTCTGACATTGCGGCGTTGTCAGATTTTCTTTAACTTCAAAGTCGCTTTTCTCTACAAAAAATCCGTTTTGATCCCCATGTTATATGAAACTTTTTGCTTCTTTAAGGCCCGTATCGTCAGTCGTCCCTAAAATTGTAGGGCGCGTTTATGGCCTCCTTGATTGTCATACACTTTTCTCTCCTTCAAAAATTTCTAGATTACACTTGTCCCGTGTCAGCGTCAGCGCTCTCCTATTGTGAAGATATGTTTTCCTTTTAAATTGTAGGAAATTTCAGGCTGATAAAACATGACATAACTCAAAAGCAAGCAGAATTTGATGCAAATAGATGTTTGTGACATAACCTGAAAATAGAGCACTGACATGGAAAAATAGAAAACTATGACAATCAAGGAGGCCATAAAGGCGCCCTACAACTGTAGGGACGACTGACGATACGGGCCTTAACCCCCTCCATCATCCATTTGAAATAATTACTATCATAACGTTTACACCGTGTATAAAGGAAATCTATCATATTCCTGTCTCCAGTTGTAGAGAAAATAACTATATACATATATCATATAGTACCAACTTAACCAGACTATAGATACTATGCACTTGCAAATGCACAAATCTGGCTCCGCAAATTCTTCTTGTTTACTGTAACCTGTTTGGTTTCATTCAGTTGGTACCGGTGACCGTGGTAGTAGCTTCCCCGTTATCGCCGCATGCTCTAGTATCAAAACAAACTAACATCATCACATCACCGTGACTTTCAGTATATGATGAAGAATTAATTAGTTGAGAAGATTCGCGTGACTGTACATCTTCGATTTCTTAGTGGTGAGTTGTCAGTTGTCAGATGCAGCTCACAATTTATTTTCTTCTTCGGATACTTGTTGCTTACAGATATGGGTAATAATTTTTCTGTGTACGAATTTATCGCTTATCTGGAGATACAATTAGTTTTTATTGCGGATCCAGTTGCTGTTATAATTGAGTTTTCATTTAATACATTGAGCATTTTAAATGTATGTTAGGTAAACATAGAAAATAGTAGCCAGTTAGGCTCTAAGCATACAGGGTATTCCTTAATGATATGCGAATATTTAAGGGTGTGAATCTAATTGAAAAATTAATGTTAGTTTGCTTTATAAACCATGGTCCAAAAATGTTTCCTTAGTAAATCTGTGTTGAAGTTTTAGGAAAAAATGGAAATTAATTAATATTTTCAGAACCGCTTCAGATATTTCAATGATATTTAGTATGTGAAAGTTAATAAAGTTGCATATTTTTCAATGCAAAAATAATTTTTAGCTTCAACAGTGGCGTGCGTACGGGTATTGACTTAGATATTTTTTAAGAAAAAAATGGTACGGCAATGGTTTTTTGCCAATTTTTTTTAATTCCCCATTCAATTTAAAACAAATGATCTCTTTTGAATTGTTTTCCTTCGATGCGCCATTTAAAACAAAAATAAAAACTGTTATATTGTCTAACTTGAAAAATGGTTATTAATTTCATTGGCAAAATTAAACACATTATGGGTAATGAACAACAACATGACATTAAAACCAACGAAATGATTACAAAGATTGTTGAAAATGGAATCCTTCACTTAGTATACATGCTTCCGCCCTCCCTCTCATGGAATTGCGCACTCGTTGAAATATCCGTATAATAAGCTGCAAATATTCTTTCTCTTAATTCCTCTACTGTGTTAATGGGACTTGTACGTGTACAGGGTTTGTCCGGAAAGTAATAGGACTGAGTTGATTTAAAAAAAAATATTGAGCCAATCGTTACAATTCTTTAAAAACTTTCAAAACAGGCTCCTTCTGCGTCGATGCAGCGCTGCCAGCGCAATTTCCACATATTGTTTCTTATTACTAAAGGAACATCATCAAGCAGCAAAGGCAACTGTTGTTGAAGAAAATTGAGGTAAGTCTGTCCGTCAAGTCGTCTTGGCAAGAAGAATTGGCCAATAAAGTTGTTGCCAATGATTCCTGCCCATACGTTAACCGAAAATCGGTGTTGGAAATGGGTTTCGGTTACGGCATAGGGATTTTCTTCTGCCCACAATTGATTATTGTGGAAATTCTGATTGTCATTTCGAGAAAAACTAGCTTCGTCCGTGAACAGAATCATTTTTTCAAATTGCGGATTTTGTGTAATTTTTTGAAGATACCACTGATAAAAGGTCACACGCCTTCGAAAATAATTGGGAATTAACCCTTTCAGTACGGCTGACATATTTATAAGTCAGTTATAGAATATACCCACCGGTCGGCTGTATCCGATATCGATGAATTACATCCATTGGCATACTGATGCGACACCCTCAGAAACTTGCATTTTATCACAGACGAGCGTCGAAATATTATGTCAACGTTTCGCTCACCGCTTAGCTGGACGACGGAAACTTTTGGCTTTGCCGAAAATTTACGACATCCGGCTACACTGTCTAACGTATGTATCATGCTTGCGATTTTCAAAACCGAGCATTAGACTGTGATTAGTCTTACATGAAATGGCGGAGGAAGAGCGTGCTGGTCGCTCTGAAAGGCCTACACGTGGCCACAAGCGTAAGAAACAACAACAGCAAAACCACTTCATTTTGATCAGGGAAGTGCAAGGCTGACAAAACGGCATTTTCCGGAATTGGTTCCAAGAAAAGAGGGAAAGAAAACTGTCACTAGAAGATTCAGAGTCTGCTCCCAGACGAAAGCAGGAACAAAGAAAAGAAAGGAGAGCAGCTACATGTGTAGAGAATGCGACGTTGGGCTATGTGTATTGCCCTGCTTTCGGATTTGTCATCAAGTAGCCGACTTTTAAAATTAACTTGCCCAATAGGTTTTTTTTTCGTTCAGTCATGAGTTCTTTATTATACTTTCAGCATTTAAACGTTTGATTTTTATTGAGTAATAAAGTTTTCAGGCTGCATTGTTCCCTGTGTTACTGTACTTTAACCTTTATTATGGTGACGTATATACAGGGTGTCCGCAAAGTTGGGGTTTTCCTTTTAAGAAACAACTACCCTTGAAATAACAAAGGTGATGTGTAGTGAAACGAGGGCGACCAAGTAAAAAAAAGATAAAGGAAAAAGTACTCACTCTCCAGTTGACGAGAAGGGCTAAGTACGTCTCTGCCCGAAATCATACCACTCCAACAGAAAATGAAATCAGCTGATGCGCTACCGAGCAGACGCAGGCAAACAAGGAAGGCAAAATGTTGCGTAAAAAGTCTAGGTATTGCATCCCGTCCAATCGATTTGGGAGAATAAATGGTCCAATGAGCATACCGTTCACCATGCCAGCCCAAACATTCACCGAAAATGTTTGTTGAAAATGTGCCCGACGGACAGCGTGCGGATTTTCTACTGACCAAACATGAGTGTTGCGAAAGTTATTCACCCCATTACGCGTGAACGTAGATTCGTCTGTCACCAATATGCACTTCAAAAAGTCCGGATTATTGTCATGTTGATGTAACAACCATTCACAAAACCGCACTCTTGCTGGAAAGTCGTCAGGTTGAAGGGCTTGTACACGTTGGACGTGAAACGGATACAGCCCCTCTTCACGCAGCGTTCGCCACACTTTAGTTTTTGATGCTTGCACTTCTCTAGCCACGTCTCTAGTGCTTGTTGAGGGATTCTCGTCTACGCAATTACCTCTAGACGCGTGACCGTAACCGTCGGTTGAAGGTTGCATACTGACCTGACACACTGACCCCGACCCAGTTCTGTCGTCGGGTTGAGCTAGTGTCCTAGTACCAGTCGCGGCTACAGGACGGTATTCAGATATTTTTGATGTTGCAGAGCCCTTTATCTCGGTTCCCTTAAGACATTGGTGTATATGGTACTAAGAAAAATTGCTTATGTTTTCAAGATCTATACGTCATGTAAAGGAAAACCCCAACTTTGCGGACACCCTGTATACGTCATCAGGCGCCCAGACAATGCAAAATGAGTCGGCGGTGGTGACAAAACAGTTAAAAAAGGTCCCGTACTGAAAGGGTTAATGTCTGTACTCTTAAGATATGGTAAGGATAATAATAATATTTATTTACTCAATGTACAAAGATAACAAACAATATGAGTAAATAAATATAAAATCAAAACAGGCCCAATAGAAGGCATCGCCTGTACATGGACCATTAATTTAAGTTGAAACTGTAGAATGCAAATGACAAAAAGGACAAAAATTAGCTACAGTAGATTATGTATTTAGTTGATGTTCGTATTTATGAGTTTATGAATTTCAGTCCTGGATATAGAATGTAGCCACTTTTTTAAATTTCTTTTGAAACAATTTCCGAAACGTAATTCTTTTAAGTCTTTAGGTATAATTTCATAAAATTTAGGCGCTAAATAGAGATATGATCGCTGCATTATAGATTTATGCGGTTGAGGAACTACTGTGCCACGAATTTTGTACCTGGTATAATGATTATGTTTAATTTTTTGGTCGGTGTTTACAAATTTATGGTAGTGAGTGATACTGTGTAAGAAATAAAGCTGTCTTATATCATACATTCGAACATCTGCGTATAATTTTTCAGTGGGATAAAGTTTCGGTTTTTTAAATATCATTTTTAGAATACTTTTTTGAAAAACATCTAAATTATAGATATGTGAGGAACATGCAGCTCCCCATGCTAATATACCATATGTGAGATGAGGCTCAATCCCAAGGTATTTAATTTTGTAGGATACAAATCTAACTTTCTTTAAAATATAATTGACATGGATGTCCCATCGTAAGTGAGGATCCAAGACCACTCCAAGGTATTTTATGTTGGGCACTCTATTAATTTGCATTTTTTGATCATTAATGTTGAAGGAGAAATTTGTGTAATTTGGCAGATGTCTAGCATAAGATCCAAATGGTAAAAAATGTGTTTTAGAGTAGTTAATGCTTAATTTTCTACTGTTAAACCACCGAATAATTTTTATAAAATCATTTTCAATTACATTTTTCAGATCAGACCAGTCAGTGCTTTCATATAATATTGCAGTATCATCTGCAAAACTAGTTATTTTGCCAACAGAATTAATTTTTAAAATATCATTTAAATATATATTGAATAACAGCGGACCTAAGACAGTTCCTTGTGGGACACCACACTTAATATACATTTCTTTACTAAATGATCCTGATATCTGTACAGATTGTGGGCGATTTGACAAATAACTTTCGATCAGTGAGTACGCGTTTCCTCTGAAACCAATTCTCTCCAATGCTTCTAATAATAATTTGTGATTAACTGTATCGAAAGCTTTTTTTAAATCAACAAAAATGCAGATTGAAGGGATTGTGTTATCAATATTTTGATGTATTTGATTTACAATTTTAGTGATTGCGTCCGATGTAGCCTTCCCTTCTGTAAATCCATATTGATTTTCATTTAAAATTTTGAATTTTGTGAGGTATCGAATCATTCTAGTAGATAAAACTTTTTCAAAAACCTTTGCTACACTGGATATTATTGATATTGGTCTATAGTTGTTAACATCTGTTTTTGTTCCTGATTTATGTATCGGTATTATATTACCTTTTTTAAAATTGAGGGATATATGCCAGATTCAAAGCATTTGTTGATTAGGTAAGTGAGTGGTTCTGTTATGTCCTGGGCTATAATTTTCAAATGCTCGCTTTTAATACCATCGAACCCAGGACTTTTCCGATTTTTTAAGGACATAACAGTGGTGTATACTTTACATTGCTCGACTTTATCCAAAATAAATGAGTTCAAAGTTCTTTTTGGAGGCTGAGTATTTTCTACATTTGCTTGTATATTACTTGCTAAATTTTCGCCTATGTCAGTAAAGAATTGTACAA